CCACCCTAGAGAAAGACGCCAGGGAGTACATAGCTGCCTGTGCTCCCTGTGCGCAATCCAATCCACTCCACCAGTCCCCTGCGGGTCTTCTTCGGCCGCTGACCACACCTAGTCGGCGCTGGTCTCATATTGCCCTAGATTTTGTCACCGGCCTTCCTCCCTCCCAGGGCAACACTGTCATTCTCATTATTGTCGACTGCTTTTCCAAAGCCGCCCATTTCCTCGCCCTTCCACAACTCCCCACTGCTTTCGACACCGCCCAGCTCCTGGTTCAACACGTGTTTTGTATTCACGGCACCCCCATCACTACCGTTTCTGACTGCGGTCCACAATTCACCTCCCATGTTTGGTCTGCTTTTTGCACAGCCCTCGGAGCACATCCCTGTCTTTCTTCTGGCTATCACCCCCAAACTAACGGCCAAGCTGAACGGCTGAACCAGGAGCTGGAAAACGCCCTCCGTTGTGTCACCAGTTCCTCACCAGAGGACTGGAGCCAGTTGTTGCCCTGGGTGGAATACACCCACAATACCCTCTCCAGTTCCGCCACCGGTATCTCCCAGGCATCCCTGGGTTACCAACCTCCTCTGTTGTCCTCTGCTGAAACCGACATTGCAGTTCCCTCTGTCCAAACTCACATCTCCCGTTGTCAGGCCATCTGGGCTGAGACCAGGGCCGCTCTAGCACGCATGGCGGACCAAAATAAAAGATTAGCTGATTGCCGTCATCGGGCCACTCCCACCTACCAGGTTGGGCAACAGGTGTGGCTCTCCTCCGCCCATGTCCCCATAAAAGGAGCATGCCCCAAACTCCTCGGTTTCTGGGGCCGTTTACCATCCAGGAAATCATTCACCCCACTGCCATCAAACTGCGCCTCCCCGACACCCTCCGCATACACCCTGTTTTTCATGTCTCGCAAATCAAACCAGTTTCCACCAGTCCCCTTTGTCCGCCGCCGGCTCCACCTCCTCCTGCCCTGGAGGTGGATGGTGGCCCTGCATACACCGTCAGGCAGATCCTGGATGTTCGCCCTAGGGGCCAGGGTTTCCAATATCTGGT